GCACCGATATGCTCGCCGGTTTCCATGGAGACTAATGAAAGGAGAATTATGATCAGAGCTTTGAGCTTTTGTGGGTCGGTTGAACTGAGCCGATTAATTAGCGCACCGCCCCAGGAAGATGCTCCCGGGTCCGGACGAGTGCCAGGCCGGGCCTGCAGAGCAGAGGGTCAGTCCCCTCCCGGAGAGGGGCACCTCATCAGGTTCACTATTTCAACACCAGTAACGGTGCAACCACCAGTGCACCCATCATCATTAAAAACTCACAATGCATTTGCGTGCATGTAACCAGTGGCCAAGATATAAGGCTTCAGAGTTGGGAAAATACACACTGTCCCCCCCTAAGCTTTAACGGAGACCTGGATTGAACCTTAGCTACTGTCCTGAGCGCCCTCCTCCAGGCCACAGCCAGTCCTGCCTGTGGTCAGCTGGCCTAGCTGCCCCTGGACAGTCCCACCTGGACCTAGCTCTGTCCCAAAAGGAGAGGCAGTGCAGGGACTTTAAAGGAGACCACCTACATACCTGTGCACTTGCGACCCTTCAATGACCCTGCTGAGGGACGGATTGGGAATCTGGACGAGGGGTTAAAGTGCGTCCAGGGGGTCTCGGGGTCTCAGAAGAGCCCCTGCTCAGAGCAGCAGAGCCGAGCTTGCGACTGAGCTCAAACAGATTTTGACAGGAGCTAGCTTTCAACAAAGCAGGCTGTTCTCCTGATTCCAGCAGCGAAGAGGAGCGAGGCGCGAGTCTGGGCGCGAGCCGCAGGGGGGCTCCCGTCACGGCGATGGCGGGCTCGGCGCGACGGCTGAGGGACACACGCTGCTCCGGTCCGCCGCCGATAAAAATATCGCTGCCGCTCGGCCGCAGCAGGGGGCCCAGCCTCTTGCTCTTGCCACCTGAGGGACCTTCAGACAGCTGGGGCTACAGGCAGGCGTCTGACGTTAGGGGGGGAAGGCCTGTTTAGCCCAAGCCAAGGGTAAAACACAGTGAGCGCCCTCCCTTCAATTTGTGAACCGTATTCGATACCATCTTCTATTCTGTCAACAATCAGAATCCTAATTTAATCCAATTTAAAACTCCTTACAGTATATCAGGTCACAGTAAATGACATTAAAAAAATGTAGATGCAGGTCCGTCTACATTTAAAGCAAATATCAGTATTTGATGAATGGGGCGCTAAACTGCAGCCGCTGGTGGACTAACAGATTTTATTAATCAGTAACAAGCAGCAGACGCCCCCGATCGCTGTTGTGATACATTTACACAATGTGGAAACACCATGAGTGTTTAACCCAGGCTGCTGAACGGAAAATCAAGGCAACGGAATGAAAAACAGACGCCAAGGAAAAATCCTTCACCTAACAAATCCATTAAACCACCAGTATGTGCGGCAGCTTCAGCTGTGCCGAAGGTCAAGGATCGTCACAGTGCAGCCCAGCCAGTGCCATGACTGCGCATTTCCAGTGCCACGCAGGGCTTAATCCGCCTCCTGGAGTCCTAATCTGCCCTTTGGCTTTTCTGACAAGGAGGCTCCTGCTTTCATTCTTCCCGGGGATCTCGGCAGAAATGGGGGCTCAGTCTGCACCGATGGACTTGCTGGCACAGCAAGATTAATGCAATCTTGAACGCAAGCCGCATCTCAGTTCCTCTCTGCTGTGTGATATGATATGATGCAATGTATTCAGGACAACAGATGGGCTGTTGCTGTGACAGAACAGTATTTTGCATGAAGAACAGTTTAGACAGCATTTAACAATTAACGATCTATTAACATTTCACGAATGACGCTTTAAAATATTACCACCTACTCATATCCCTAGGCTCAGGGTCTGATACAGTCTAAGGGCAGGTTTAGGGCTTTGTTACTATCATCTCATATAACTACAGCAGATCTTAGTTATGTCACAGCTCTATTATGTTACTCTATTATTGCTTCATGAATATAATTCTTTAGGAAGTGTTTAGAAACATGCAACCATTGATCTCAAATGGTCCCCAATGTGCTCCGAAGCCCATCTGCCAGAACAGTGATTCATTTTATATGGAACACAAAAGTCTCCAGGCTGTGCAGCTTCCACAGCCACAGGCTAGCAGCCTGCTCTCTCCATCACACAGGGACAGCTGGACCACCGAAACCGAGCGCCGTGCAACGACACGGCCACTTCACCCCGGAGAGCAGCACCCACGTTACTCACCGAGCCTTGAGGGAGGCGAGCGTGGACTTGTCGATCCTGCAACGGAGAGAGAGAGAAACGATGAGAAAACAGCGAGGAAGAAACGGCGGGCCAACGTTTCGACGGGCTCGATCTCGGCAGTCCCCTGTCGGCCCTGCTCTCGCACCGAAGCCGGTCTCAGTGGGCTGCCGGGCTGCGTCGCAACGGTTCTGGCTCGCTGCAGCTCCACCGCGCTGCCATACTGTACCTCCCGCAAGCTGCTGATGAGCGAGCGAGGACCGCGGCTGAGCCGCGTGGGCGTGTGGAGCCGCGTCTCCGGATCGCCGGAGGAGCTGCTCAAAGGAACAAGACGGGATCTGACTGCGGCGGTCCGGCTGCCCGCGTCGTGGAGGGGAGTGCGCGCACGTGGAAGCAGGGGGGTCTGCGCAGGAACCCGCCAACACGCTATGGGAAATAATCGCGTCAGTGGCGCTCCTCCGCGTGACCCAGGGGTGCTGGCCAAGGCAACGGAGAACTGTGATGCGGCTCAGGCTTTGACAGCTGCTGGATCTGAGGAATCAGCCCATACCGAGCGCTGAAGATTTCAAGCCTCCTACTCAACTCTGACAATTTTTGCATAGAAAGCTCAAATACAATTAAACACAGGTGTAACTCCACCAGTATAAGCTGAAGCAGTGCACGGGTTCGAGCGGCTTGGTAATGGCCGTCTTACCCAGAGATTGGGCAACCCATACGAGCCTCGCACTGGCACAGGGTCACAGCAGTGTCAAGACGGAGCAGTGTCAATGCCTGCCATGCTAACTAACCCTTCTCAATGGGTTCACAGCTTATTCCATTTGCCCTGCCTTTGCTCCACCTCAATGCCACTTCGGTGCCTGCCCAGCGCAGCAGAAGGACTCTTTCCTTCCACGCCCACGGGGAATCGGAGCCTGATTGAGCAGGCTTAGAAGTTTAGAGCTCCCTCTGTTCCGTTCAGAAAGAAAAGCACGCCCCCACTGTGGCCCTAACCATGCTGTAAACACAGGTACCTCGCTGAAGCGTGGATCCCGTCCCGATCCTGCCTAGGCAAACTTGCTATAGTATTTTTGCACTTTGCAATCGCTTTTAGAAAATGCACTGCACTGTGGTACACACCAAACTCCCTTCTGTAAGAAGCACCTATCTGAGGGGTGCGCAGCCACAAGCAATCACACAGTCCAGGTATTCCATTCCAGCCTGGAGGGGCTCTCCAGCTTACCACCTGTCTACTTAAACTTGCTGTCGCCCTTTTCTAGAAAGAAAATAATAATAATAATAATAATAATAATAATTGCTTACACTTATGTAGCGCTTTTCAAGACACTCCTTCAAAGCGCTTTACAGGTAATGGGGATCCCCTCCACCACCACCAGTGTGCAGCCCCACCTGGATGATGCACCAGTCCTCTCCCCACACACCAGCTCTCAGTGGGGAGGAGAGCAGAGTGATGAAGCCAGTTCAGAGATGGGGATTATTAGGAGGCCATGATTGGTAAGGGTGAGGGGGAAATTTGGCCAGGATACCGGGGTTACACCCCTACTCTTTTCGAGAAACGCCCTGGGATTTTTAATGACCACAGAGAGTCAGGACCTCGGTTTTACGTCTCATCCGAAGGACGGCACCTGTTTATAGTATAGTGTCCCCATCACTATACTGGGGCATTAGGATCCACACAGACCGCAGGGTGAGTGCCCCCTGCTGGCCCCACTAACACCTCTTCCAGCAGCAACCTTAGTTTTTCCCAGGAGGTCTCCCATCCAGGTACTGACCAGGCTCACACCTGCTGAGCTTCAGTGGGTTAAAATGACTCTTTATTGTGCAACATCCTAATTTTTTCTTATCAGCTTATCTCACACCTACCCCCTGTACTGCACCAACTGAAAGAGGGCCAGATCGCTCGCTCCTGCAACACGACCCCCTGCCTGTAATGAGAATACCTCCTCACTGGGCGTGCTGGACGCTTCGCAGTGCCTCGCAGAAAAGCCAGCTGGACACTGGAGGTACCTGCACTGTGCTTGAGTGGTACACCTCACACTAACACCCCTGCAAGCTCACAGTGGGCCAGCAGGTCCCAAGAGTCAAGATCAACCTCATGGTGTCTGTGCCATAGGGCCCTACCGGCTCTCTGAGGGAACGTTTCTTCATTCCGCCCACAGCCCCACAAAGTGTGCACTCTGCCCAGATCCCCACGATCAGCACTTTCTGTGCCTGGAATTGGAGAAAAGCTTAGGCTGGGGTTTCTAGCCTACTAGGGCAGAGCAGTGGCAGGGCAGAGGGGTGGCTCTGTGGCTCAAGATCTGCGCCTGTGGCTGGAAGGTTGCCAGTTCAAAGCCCACGGCTGGTAGAAGAATCCCACTCTGTTGGGCCCCTGAGTAAGGCCCTTCACCCCAGCTGCACCAGGGGTGCTGCATAAATGGCTGACCCTGCGCTCTGATCCCAAGCTTCTCTCCCTGTCTGTGTGTCTCATGGAGAGCAAGCTGGGGTCTGCGAAAAGACAAATTCCTCATGCAAGAAATTGTATATGGCCAATAAAGCGATCTTATCTTCTTAAGCCTTCTTTGCATTTAGATATGCTCATCCACTCATAATGCATCCTATACCGTGCCATAGAAACACAAGGCTAGGCAGCTCGTCCTACAGGTGGCCCATTAAAACACATGGTACTATAAAAAACTGCTCCTGCTTCAGTAAAAGGGTGAGGTCATCCCTGCTCTGCCACAGGGGGATCTTTACAGTTACAGCACTCACTGAGCAATACAAACACAAGGGCTGGAAGCTGCAGCCGACGTGCACTTAAAGACATCTGAGATTGCATTTCACAATGCAATTACGGAGATCTTTTACTGCTTTGGCTACGCATTACTGGACAAAGCCATTAAGGCCATCTCCACAGTGCAGGCAGCAGACGCTGGAAGGCTACACTTCACTACTAATGGTGCCCCCCACACCCCCCCCACCCAGACCTCCTGCAGACCCCTGTTTTCAGTGCCAGTTGGGGAAGACTTTGTGAGGCAGTCAGGTGAGGCCACCAGGGCTTGCAAGAGACAAACGGAAAGAGAGAACAGAAGAGATTTTTCAGAGCTCCTCACACAAATCACGATGGAGCCAGTGATGTAGAAAAATGCGTAACAGGGAGCTGTTCTACTTTGAAAACTGCAGTGCAAACCCTTTGTCGTGGCTGGGCTGGCTTCCTCTTTGGCAAACCACAGCACCAGAAACCAGAAACGAAAATGCAACACTAGAGAGTTCAAAATGAACCAGACCCTCCAAAAAAAGGAAACGAATTCCCGATCGTCTTCACTTGATGCTATATGTCACTTTTCTCGTCAACAAGTTGCAGAAGACCCAGCGTTTACGGTAAGCTCTGCTGATGCACACACACCCAGGGCTTGTTAACTACAGTTTCCTCACAGCGTCTGGCACGGTAAAGATCAATACCATCGCTGACGAAAAGGAGAAGCACAAACCACACGCAGGGCGCCCACAACGCTTTCTCCACGGCAACGGGCCGCGCAAGATCTCGACAGGATCTGAGCGCTGGGCTGGGCGGGTCCTGCACAGGAAGGGCGTGCTGCATGTGAAATCTAGGCGCGTTCCTCGCCCAGGGCACTGCGCAGGCAGGTGAGTGCAGCTGCTGGGGTTTCTAACCCCGCAACGGGCAGTTTCAGTCTGACAGCTGGTGCGCAAAACCACACAAGAGCTCCGACAAGCTTCTGAACGCGCTTAAGGAATTCCTACTGGGCAAATACATCTTGGGTTCTCTCTTAACAGTTCCTTCAAATATCCTTTTAAGAAAAATGTCTTCTCCTGCTTAAAAACAGGTCATTCAAGCTTCAGTTAAGTTGTATTCAAGTCAACTGCTCATCTGAGCTCTGTGGCCCTGGGTTCTATTCTCAGGTGTCAGTTGTCGACAGATCACAACGTCTGCACCCCCCCGGCACACCGGACAGAGTGGAGCCAGTCCGCCCCCCCCGGCACTCCGGACAGAG